GAGGAGGCATTGCCCCCTCTGGGATGGCTGCCAGAAAACTGCACAACCTTACGGAAATTGTAATGATTCAGGGTCCCTTTGGGGAATGTAGGTGTCCTGGAAAACACCTGGTCCCTTAGCTTTGAAATAGATGGCAGATTAGGAGAGGGGGGAATTCATTCTATAAATATTTATCAGGTATCAGTTGTGTCATGCACTGTGCTAAGAAATCCAGTATTAACAAATTTTGTGCCCAGAATGTAATAAATATCTAGCATAAGTGAAATGGTATTGTTCACTACTCTTCCTTATAGACTTTCTGTGGTGATCCCTATCTTACTTTACAATGGCTGGTTCATTTTATTTAGCATTAATGGGAAGTTAATCATATGCCATCCCGTAAAAATAGTGCTTTGACTGACTTAAATATAGGATCCTATGACTTAATATAGGAATCTGACTCTCCACTTAAATTGTAGACTCCTTGAGAGCATAAGTTTTATCCTCTCCTTTCATAGCTGTCCTCATAGTATTTTATGTGGTGGTAAATGCAGAAAAAATACTCAATAAAGATTGACTATTATCTTGCCTAAAACATACTCAGAAAGAAATCAGGAAAGAGTAGAAAGGAGACTGATTTCAAGCAAAGATTTAGGACTCAGAAGAGCAGCATATTCTGCATATAGCAGCTACTAATAACTTCCAAAAGAAAGTTATACTATTTATAGTACTTTTTAAAAATGTATGCCTGCATAATCCATGCATGGCATCATTAGGTTCATCATATTTGAATATAAAGAGCCACAGATAGAATTATTATCAATTCTAATTACAGGTCTTCTAATCCTGAAGACCAGGATTAAATGGCATATATTTCAAACAAAAGAACTCTTCAAGATGGCCCTTGGTAAAAAGAAGCATATTCAAATGCTCCCAGTTGTGTTTTTAGTGCCCAAGCCTTGATTTTAACACTCAGAGCACTGGTTATAGAACTAGTTCTCATGTAGCCTTACTTCAGTAAATGGTATGATGATCAGAAATATAACCAGAGCCCAGTCTTAAAATAAGCCACTTGTTTTTTGTTTTCTCTTGTGAATGTATGTTTATCCTGGGTCTTTGGCTTCAAACATATCCCGTTTTTAGATGGAATATTCATACTTCCTATGAGCAGAGGAAGGAACCAATGTAGAAAAATTTAGGGAAGTCCTGGAAACACTAAACTTTGTTTCTTTAGAAACCTGAAAACCTAAGAAAGGTTTTATTGGAGTAGGAAGCAACAAGATAAAAATCACTAAGGATCATTTTTTGTTAAATTCTAGTAAATGCTCATATTTGATGGAGGAAGTAAAAATTTAGTATGTTAAATTATTTCGTGTTACCGCAGGAAACAAGATGGTATCTCCTTTTCTGTGTGTGCATTAGATATAGGAGATCTACAGAGTAGAGGGGAAAAAAACATGGTTATAAGGTTAAAATCCAAAGAAATGGTGCTTCTTAATGTTTGGATAATGATGGTGGAAGATAACTAAGGAGACCCACTTAAGTTCTGGTCTGTGGGTGGTAAGGTACAGGTTGCAGGCCAAGATCAATTTTATTCTGAGGCATAGGACTGAATCTTAGGAACTGGAAAAAGGGTTAAGATGAGACCAGACATTTCTGGTTATTTTGTAGTTTGATCATCCCTCATTTGTTCCATTGAGAAAGGCTGAATTTACATAGCCAGTAATTTATTTTGGAATAAAAAAATGAGAATATATTTGAAAACATTTTGCAAACAGTATAGCACTATCTAAATACAAGTAAGCATTTTCTAGTATTTCACGTACTTTCAAACTTGTCCTCATAACTTTTATTATGTTTATATAATGTAGGAATAAGACAAGGAAAAGGGATTTCATGGTAGAAGGTGATCATTGAGATCATAAGCTGAAAGCTTTTTGTTTCGTGAGGTAGCTCTTCTAATATTTCTGCCAGGTGTTGTTTGAATGCAAAAACACTCTGATGCTTATTAATGGAGTTTAAATTGATGCACCATTCTGTAAGTAGGTTTATTATGAACATTAGAGCTTTGACATAGAATTTTGCTTGTAGGAATTTATCATCATCATCATTGCTAACATTTGTTGAGTGTTTGCTATGTGAAACACACTGTTCTACATGCTTTGTGTGAACACCTCATTCAATCTGCATGGCAACCTAGTGATGTAAATGTACTAGCATCCCTATTACATAGATGACAGAATTGGATAGGAGAAAAGTTAGACAAATTGTCCAGGATCGCGAGGCTGATAAGTGGAAGAGCCAGGACTCTAACATAGGTGGTTTAGATCCGGTGTTAACCCTTAACCACTGTGCTGTATTATAACTTGCACTATTTTCTAAGGAAACACTTGAAGAAGTATACAAAGATACATTTTGAAGTATTTTCATCAAGGGCTTGGTTAATATAGGAAGAGATTAGGAAAAAACTAAACTACTGGTTAGGATTTGCTCAACTTATGGGATATAGCCATTAAAAATAGATAGTGTGGAGTGTTGAAAACAATTGAGTTAATCTATGTGTATGTAAAAAAAATTGGTCTTTTGCAATATTATAATTGCTTCATTTTTGGTGAGCAAAAATTGTTATCCCAAGGAGATGAGATTACGGATGACTTTCCCATTGTGCTCTCTTAAGTTAAAAGCACTTTTTCCCCCTGAAATTCCTTTTTGCAAAGACCATATATTGTTTTTATAAAGATACTGCCAATAAAGTTATGTCACTGGGGGGAGGTGTACACAAAACAAGTATAACTCATTCTACTCTCACATATATTTCCCTTTCACTCTGCTCCTGCACATTCTACTCATGAATAACTCTACAGTTTTTCCTCAAGAACAAGTTTTGTATATCAAGAAATTTTTGTTAGGTTGGTAGATAGTCACAGTATGTTGAAGTCCTATTATGTGTCTCTTGGTATACTAGGCATTGTGGGCTCACACCTTCCACAAATAATTGATATTCTGTTTTTGGAGATATAAAACACTTAGGTTTCTTTCTATATCAACATCTGGTTTACTAACATAATCAGCTACTCACCCCTCAGTTATCAGGGACAAACAGTTGGAAGAATAAAAAAATGTGATCTAGTACCTTCTGTGCATCATAAATAATAAACAGAGTTCATCAGAGGAGGGATAAATCTTAGAAATTGACAATAATGTTCAAGAAGATTTCCTACAAGAGATGAGAACTTAAACCAACTCTTGAAAGTTAATAGGGAAATTTTACTGTCTCAAAGGCATGAAATTTTATAGATTTTCTTAATTCTGTTCCCAGGATTCTATTCTGACGTTTCAGAATGTATTAAATCAGTGTGATTTGGAACAGTTTCTTGAATTGTTCTGTGCCTCAGTTATCTTCTGTGTAAAATAGGTATGAAAATAATATCCTTCTCTTAGGCTTATATTAAATGAGACTGTACTGATGAAGCATTTTATTTAGTACTGGCAGTCCTTTCTTCCTTCTGTGTATTCTGTTCTAGTTCCTAGTTGCCTTACTGAATCTGCTTCATTGACTTCTGCCTCATTGACCTGGGCTAGCATCTATGTAATACAGGACCATTTGCCTGATTTCAAACTGCCAACTTTAATATAGTACTATACTTGCTCTCTCAGCCTCCATGTGGTTCTCATGTCTGGGCCTCCGTATATTCAGATTCTTAGACTCATAGTTCAAAACAGAATTTACACTGAAAGACAGGAACCTATTTTTTCTCCAAATGTGACTAGAGGTTTAAACACAGGTTACTTTCTACTAGGACCAAGGGTTGACCTCAGAACACCCACGCTGAAACTAAATATCCCCACTACTACTCTGACACCATGGCCATTTCACTTTCTGGCTCAGTTCTCTGTCAGTGGCAATGCCTGAGCATTTCCAAGGCCTGTGCACTGACTCCTGGCTGATTCTTACAGGCAGCGAGAGTCAGAGCCGAACTAATCCATCAGCTGCCCTCCTCATGTAGATGGACCCTGGGCTTTGCTGCTTTAGTGGACAAATCCTTGCCAATTGTAGAAACAATGAGCCTCTTTAGCACCCCTGTCACTGCCATAGGGTAACCAGAGACAGAATGACTCTTTTCCAAAGGTGACTTTGCTGGCCAGCACCTATCACCTCAGTCTGGGCTTCCTGACCACTTTTTACAATTCTTTTGGAACAAGTAGAAAACTCCCTGGTCTTTTCTTGTTATAGAGGTCTCATTGTTTCATGGGCAGCACAGGCCTTTCACAGGCATTTCATGGCTTTGGAATCCTAGAGAGTTTTAACAAACTATAGCAGGATATCCATTTTTTTCCTACTTTAAGCATAAAGCAGTGAATCATACGAATAAATGTTCTTAGGTCATCTGGTCAGTCTCCTGGGTCCAGCTACAGAGTGTTTCCTTTAGAACATGGTCTAGTTTCTGTCCAGTCTCTGTAAATGTCCCAGATGTTGGGACATCCTCATCTCTCACTGTAGTTTAGAGAACAAAGAATACTGTGTTTTCTTGAACCTTTTGCTTGCCTACTACCCTGTTACTTAACCCATCTCATGTAGCAAGCCCAAGGGAAAGTGTCACTCATCCTCTCAAGAAGTGTTAGTTCAGGGATCCCCTTCATAACGAGCCAAGATAAGGACAGGACAGGTTTGTGTTTCACCTGTAGGCCCAGGTTGTCTGAAAAATTGGACCAGTAGCACCTCAGCTATTCTGCTGAGTTTGGGACTTTTGCAGGCTTCTGGAGCACTGATTCTTCTCATATCACCAAATTTCCTTTCTGTCTGGGACTCCTACATGATATTTTCAGTTTCATTCAGAACTGTAAAAAGGAACTGTTTGTTTGACTATGAATTTCCCTTTTTTTAACTACCCCCACCCCAAACCCATTGCTTTCTTCCTCTCCCAAAGAAGAAAGAGGAAAGCAAGCCACAATAATACTTCTGTAAATTTATGGCCACTCTGTAATGTTTAATCACAGCTACGTGACTGGGGGCTTCAGAGCGGGTGTACAAGTTCAGCGCAAGGTGAATCTTGTCTGAGATAATCTGAAAGTTCATTCAGAGGTGAGGGCAGCAGCCTCTTGCAGACGGGTGAGGTTAACAGGAGGTCACCTGCTTTTTTTTTCCCTTCTGGTCTTCTCCCCTATAATGTGTAAACAAAAGGAAAATGTAACTTCCAATGAATTTGGCATATGTTGTGCTCACGCTAATCTTAGCCTGGCCAACTGTAAACAGTCCAATATCCTGTGGCCGAGCCTTTCCACCCATTCTTAGTCTTTTAGAGAGCATAAAGAAAACCCAAGAGAAAGCTGAGACTAGCACCTTATATAGCAAGGCCCTGTTACTGACCTCAAAAAGCTAAGGGACAGAGGTAGGAGGGAGAATAGTGTTTGCTGCAACTCATTTAGAGCCTTGGTAGGACACCAGCAACCAGCATGTTTTCTCACGGTCAACAGTCAGCACGCCTTTATTGAGTACCTTCTCTCCCCACCACACAGGGCTAAAAGCTAAGAAGACAGGATAACTCATTAAGTGGCTTACAGGCTGAAAGGTGAGAGCTTGTGTGATCTGACCTTAGAGATAGGAGAATAAAGGTGAAGGACATTGCTTATGTCCAGAGATCAAATTCTATCATCTAGATCAAATTCTATCAGAAGCTCCCGCCCATGTAGTGGTGTGTTGTGGTGTCCAGCTCATGAGCAGAGATATTCCTAAGCTAGAGAATTCCACAAGTACCAGAGGCAATATATACTGTAGGGCCCATAGCCTAACCCTCAACAACAATCAGTGGCCCTTAATAGTTTTTGAACAACTGTCATTTTCTATAAAATCCATACCTTGGTGGAGTTGCTGGGCCAATCCAAACATGGATTGGGAACATACCTCTGCTGTACCTGTTAGCTATATAGGATTATAATTAATATTTCAATATGTGGAACAGATAATTACTTAGTGAGTTACCACTGGCAGGTATTAAATCTCAAACTAGCTTCTAGAACTCTTTATTCATTGATGGGTGTTCAGAGAACATAGACTTTTTATTATAAAGTCAGTTTAGAATCATTTTAGTATGAGTTAGTAAAGGAAATCTGAAGGTGTTGTGCAGCCAGGACTTACCCTTTGAGCTGAGTGAAATTGGTTTTGTGTTGGGCTTGCTGTTTCTTTACCTCAGCTATACTTCAACTATTTCATAGCTACCTTGGGCCCAGACTTGTTCCAGACAGAAACAGCAAAAACAATTCTGCTCTTAAGGCACTTATAATCTTCCTGAGGAGAAAAGAAAAAAAAAAAAAAAAACCAAGATTCAGAATATACTCTAATAGTATCAAATAAGAGATTTCTGAAGATTTAGTAAGGATCAGTTTATAATGGGGAGGATTTGAATAGGTCAAGGAGAAAAAGAAGACGCTTCTAAGTGAGAAGAGAGTATGAGTGAAGGAATCATGTTGTGTCATCATCATCATTGCTAGTATTTGAGGAGCATTTAGCGTATGCCAGGTACTGTGCTGAATATTTTAAAGTTAGATATTGTTTCTACTTTAAAGATAGGTTACTTACTTGCTGACTGACTGCAGCTCCTGGGAAGCACATCTTGAATTTGCCTCAACACCACTTCTCTTTATAACTCCAAAGATTTCCTGACCACTCCCAACCTTCTGTCCCCAGTACTGAGTTGTAAAATGTTTGTTTATGATATCTGTAAAGGGGACAGGAGGTAGAAAGGCTTTGGAAAAATTTAATTGCTAAGGACAATGTCTTCTAATTATAAATGTGGCTTGTAACCAGGTGGAAAGGACTCGACAAAGGAACTGTCTAAAACAAGATGATGATAATTCCCCAGTGTCACCTTGTTATGAACTTTTGGGTGACTTTCTCACAGACATGGCTCAGGTAAAAGATAGCTGTTTCTATTACGGCTTGCTCATGGTATTCAAACTGTGGGTGGTCTCTTCACACATAAAAAAGTCCTCACATATAATCTGGCCCTGATTAAGGTCCATGAAGGAACTCTGCTCTCAGGGAACAAGCCACATAGACAAATGCTAATCTGGAGAATATCCATCTGGCCCTAGCTTACAAAGAATATGGATATGATGGCTCTGGGAATTGGGAGAAGGGAATTTCATTTTGTATGAGAGCCAGGGGCTCTGGTCCACATTACATTGAAGCAAAAGTGAGAACAACTCCTGTTGCTATAAAGTTCACAAAGGTCAGTATTCAGTTGCTTTTAAAAATGTTCTTGAATAATAACGATACCTTTGTGGTAATAATTATTAACTGTAGTAATGCTGTGAAGTTTTAAAGTAGTTTCACTTACTATACCTCTTTTCTTATCCTTATTCAATAAACTGGATAAGATTTTAACAAATTTACCTCATTGATAAATTGAGTCTATAATGTTTTAAGACCTCACAACAAACCACATCTTAGTCACTTTCTTATCATAGGGACACCATATCCAACACCCACAATTTAAAGAACAAGTTTATTTTGGCTTATGTCTCCCATGCAGTTTCAGAGTTCTCAGTGTACATACATAGTCAGTCAGCTCCAAGGGAAAAATTGGATGATGGAAGAATCTGGTGGAAGAAAGTTACTCACATCATAGCAGCCAGAAAGCAGAGAGCAAAGGGGAGAAGTTAGGGAGGGAGATACACCCTTTCAGGTCAGACCTTCTGTGATTCACCTGTTCCATGCAGATCCCATGTCCTAAAAGCACATGCAGCTATTAGTTTATCAGCAGAGTAATCCACTGATTAGCACCTCCTTGATCCAATCACCTTCCAAAAACAATCTCTGAAAACGGGAGGCTTTTGAAGGACATTCCAGATCTAACCATCGTAGCACAGGGAGATGATAAGCATAAGGATCTAATATTGAATAAACACTCCATTGCCATCAGAGTAAAGACTGTATTGCTTTGGCTACACGAAACTATTAGAAAATTAAGCTTGAATATGCAGAGTAAGATAAGAAATAATTCTGTTTTGGTTATCTGAGAACACATGGCATAGAAATATGTAGTATATACATAAAATCATGATAGTAGTCTTCTCTGGGAACGACAACGGAAAGAGGGTATTTCCCCTGTATTTATGTTTTATTCTTTCAAGCAAAGGAACAATCTGAAATAAATTAGACAAATCATTGATATTTATTCACTAATGGTAATATGAATTTTATATTCTTTTTTACTTTTATTTCATAATTTTAAAACAAAAAAATTCCTTTGTTCTCCTTTGCCTCTCTGGGTATCAGGAGATTTTGTTTCTCCAACAGCCAATTAAATTGCATTATATAAAAGAAAGATAGACCCTTTCAAGGCCTCACACTCTAACTGAAGTCCAAGCCATAGTTGCTGGGTTATGATGAATTCTTCTGGACCTGTTTACTCCTCTATAAGATGAAATGATGCTGTTCTCGGCAGTTCATCACAGTGTACAATTTTAGCAGCCTCATTCCCATTAAATCCTGAAAATTATTCTCTGTCCCATAAGATTTAGAATCTTAGAACTGGAAGAGACAATAGACATTTGATTGTCAATAAAAGGAAGTTTCAGACATCTTGAGTCTCAAGATGACTAGTAATAGGATCAGGGCTACAGTGCTGGTCATCTGTCTTTGTTTCAAGAATCTGAATCCTTTCTATCACCAAAGGAGTGTGTCTAAGGGTAGCAAAGGAATTCAGGTTGACTAAATGTATGTTTACTAGACAGGTAATGTGGAACAAACTGGGATCCAGGATATTTATTTAAATGTCAGGTGTGGTAGATTGATACCTGCTGGTCACCTTGTAACACCTAGCTGAACTGAATCAGCATGGTGCTACGTGTGGATGGCCCACCTGAGAATTACTGCCAACTACATAAAAAAAGGAAAAGTAGAGAGGAAGAGGTAGGTGCTGTTGCTTCTCCTGGAGGAGTTGTTGTGCCAGATTTCCTGATAAGAACTCAGCTGTTATCGTCAGAGGACTCAAGACCTCATTGTCACTGAGGATGGCTGTGGTAATTTTGAGGGGAGCTCTGGTCCTTACTTTGAGCATCACTTCTTGGCTCCAGGGTGAATCCCTCAGCCTATTGGCACAGATCCTTCATCCCACTGGCATGGACTTTCTAGCTTCCCTTTTGGGCCTCCCCAGTACAGATCCATAAACAGATATGCATAAGACATTGTCATGGTTTGTAGACCTCTAGTTAGACTTTTGGGATGTTGTCATAGGCTCTAGATCTTCAGCTGCACTCATGCAGGACTCTGCCATGGAATCCAGGCCTTCAGCTGGATTCTAGGTCTCTAGTGTGTAGAGAGGTTTCCTGCATTCTTCAGGTGACTAATAAAAAGTAATCCTATACATTATATGTCCTGTATTAAGTTGTTTCCTTTACAAACCCTGGCAAACACCAGGCAAAATTCAAGCAAAAATTGTTCCATGTAGAGGATTCTTAATCCCTTACAGGAGAGTTTTGAGAAGTAATACCGTTACAATTTCTGGCAGAAGTGCAATTTTAGAAATTAGATTCTGATAGAAAAGGAAACACATTGATAGGGATGGAGTAGAAAAGAGGGTGTTGTCCAAGAACCTAGGTAATTTCTAAGACTTTGCTGTTTCTTAAGCTATGACAACCTTTAGTCATTGAAACCTGCCACAGACCTTACCTCCTGCCTATAAAAATTCATTGAGCAAAGATAAAGGGATAATCAACACGTCTACACACACACAAACGTTACACATGTTTCTGAGTAGTCTTCATCAAGGTCCATCAGTTAGACTTGGTCATGATATCTAGCAAGCACTCCTATATTTCTATCCTTTAAAAATCTGGGAACTGAACATGGTGTTGAGCAAAGGTGTAAGGTAATCTTTCCCTGTAAGTTAGTTTCTGAATAAAATATCTAGAGAATCTAGAAATTCCTATTTCCCTGAGAGGGTGGTGCAGTATCATTGTGTAATTGTTGTCAGAAATTACTGATGTGGTATGTATATGTACCAGTTCCCCAAGGTGAATGTAATTACCATGTTTCACAAACATATGCTAATAAAAAAGAGAGACTCACCAACCATTGTGGGTGGGTCTCTGAGTTCTGAAACCTAATACTTGCACAGGTCACACCACTGTCTTTCCTGTGGTTCCCTTAGTAAACCCTTTGCTTCCTGGATTTCACTGAGTTGCTGCTCTGCCCTTCTGTGAGGTTCTAGCTTTTAAAAGTCTAGCTCAGGAGTAAAGGTTAGGCAAGTCGGGCATTTGTCCACCCCTTTTCACATTCAGATAGTTGCTTCCTAACAAGATTTAAGTGTGGCCCACAGTTTGGACTTGCCTAGCTCAAATACACAAGATTTGTAGTAATTAATTTAAGACTATTGCATTATATAAAATATAGTGGTACCTCAATTTAACAAACTCGGTTCTTTCCAGTTCTGGTCACAAACCCAGTTGAACAAGAACTGAATCAAATTCAGTGGTTAGGTTCATTGTTGACCTTAATGAGGAAATTTGATTCGATTCTCATCCAGTTCAGTTTGCAACCAGAATCATAAAGATAATTGAGTTCATGAATTGAGGTACCACTGTATTGGACATGATATAAGCAAAAGACAGGTTTCTGTAGATAGATATGTATTGATTCAGCTGCTTTTATTTGAAATGCAGACAATTATGAGAAATAGTGAAGACTTTAGCCCTTGACATCTTTTTCCTTTGAGTAGTAACTTGGCATTGTAGAAGGGTGTAGCTTTGGAATTAAAGAGACTTAAATTCAAAGTCTGGTGTTTACTAACTTTATGATCTTGGGCAGGTCATTTAAGCCTTTTTTATTCACATCTATAAAAATGGACCATAAATACCTATCTCACAGAATAGTGTGAAGGATCAAATAAGATTATCTGTGTGAAATGTATACCACTGAGCCAGCTTTTACTGGTTCTCAGTAGTCCTAAGCTTCTCTCCCCTCTATCTTGTGATTTGACTTGACAAGTCCTTTACAAATGGACACTGCTAGTAGAGAAAGGAGGAAGACAGGGGAAGAAAAAGCTCTGCTTAGAGAGTGGGTCCTGGATTCTGGGCCAGTTTTTTTTTGGAGGCAACACCTCATCTAGCACCCATCTGTTCTGAAAATCGCTGGTGTTGTTCATGCCAAAACCTGGTGTTCCAGGCAACCTTGACAATGACTTGAACTTGAAGCAGTTTTCATATTGCCTTATTTCCTCATTGTAGGACAGGTATGTTAGCACCACTGGTAGATAAAAGAGAGAACTGGTAATAACTCTGTTAAGATAGTATATACTCTAAAGGGAAAAGGAAATAGGCTGTGGGAATGTGAAAGGGATCTTTGGCAGTACCAAAGTTTCCACTTCAGTCTGCACTGTATTGCATCCAGCTTCAAAACCTGTACCAGTGTTTCAAACTGATGGCCCAAGAAGTGACAGACATAGTAAAATATCTACATTTGAATACCTTTGGGGTTTATGTACTCTGTAGTTTTCCATGACTCTTATCATTTACTACTATATTTCATTTGCTAAATTCATTGATTTTCATTATTGGCTGGTCTCTGATTTTGAAAACTGTCTAATGATCAGTATGTAGTCTTCCCATCCAGTTCCTCCAACATTCAGCCTCCAGACCCTCAAGTTAGAC